CTCCTCGGAAACCCTATACAAGGTCGCTATGGGTCGGAACTGACACAATGACACCTAACAACAACAACGTGATCACATATGCCAGGGGTGGAAAAAGCCAGAGAAAGATGGTGAAATAAGAGTGCTGAGGGATAAAAGGTCCCCTCTCTTGTAGTAGTTAAGCTATAACTAAACCCATTGCTGCTGAGTTGATTCTGACTCACGGAATAGAAGCCCTTTCTCTCATAGACCCACTAGTGGGTTTGAACTGCTGACCTTTTGGTTAGCAGTTGATTGCTTAAGCACTTGTATTACCAGGAATCTTTCTAGCAGTTAGGAGTTCAGAAAATTAATAATGAATTTTGAAATAAAAAAGAATTTCAGAGTGAACAAACCAACACTGATAAAGGAATCCAATCATAACGATTAGTGCCATCCAATTGGGATGACATGAATTTGGCTTAAACTGTCTCATGCATCTTCAGTCTGACCCAGATCATGACCTTTTTCACAAAATTTGTTAGGTAGTAATATGGGTGGGAGTACGGGACAAGGTTCAAGTTCTTCATGCTGAATTCACATCTTTGAATATTGAAGGAAGAATTAAAAGAGGGAATAAAAGGATAACGTTGGTAACCCTGCAAAAATAGTGAAGCTTCACATGACACAAGAAAATCATTCTTCTCATTAGCAATAGGAAGATATGGTCCAGGATGCCTTCAAAACGAGTTTTTTTCTGCCACTGATCACATTCTCTTAATCATCAGGCTCTGAGGTCAATACATTGGTTCTCTGCTTTGGGTCTGGTTATGATATTTCACTCCTTCGGATTTCTTCTTCTTTCTCCCTGCATTTCAAGTATTGCAAAGCACAAGCAACACTCTTTTCTACTATCAATTAATGGATATGCGGTGCAATAAATAGAGTTGAGTGAGGGTTTAGAAAGACCACTGCTAATTCAGAATATCCTAACTAGTCTGTGTGAACTGAAACCATCACGCCCATGATCTGGTGAACCTAAGTACACATATGCACAGAAATTCTGTTTTCTTTTAGATTAGATTGGTTCATCTGCTTTCTTAAAGTAAATTTATCCCTTACATCTTCAGGAAAGCAAATAGCACAAAACTGAACAAAGTTAACAAAATGAACAAATAAGCAAAACAAAAACCGTTTTTCAGTGAAAAGTCCCTCAGCTTGGGAATTCTTTTCTTACATAAAGAACATGATAGCCAAGGACTTCTGGTGTGGCGCTGTAGGATAAATGCAAGACTGCAAGGTCAGTTTGAACCACGAGGTCGGTGGTTCAAACTCACCAGATGCACCTCGGAAACCTTATGAGCTGGAACCAACACAATGGCATTTAATAACAGTGCATCTTACTATTCACAAAAATTGGCATGAGTGAAAGTAAAAAATTAACAAAAATAAAAATTAAAAGCACATACAAAAGTAGCCATTGCTTATGAAAAAGAAACCAATCTTTTCCGTAGAACTAACCATGTCTCACCTAAAAGGTAAGATCTCATTTTATCTCTTTGTTTCTGCGTAAGAGATACTGAGATTTAATGCATTTGAAAGTATATCATGATACTTCCTCTTTAAATATTCTGAAGAGCTGCAATAAAGGACTGGGAAAATCTACTAGGTTTCTACCTAGCTTTTACCACAAAAGCTATTCTAGTAAGAGGCAACAGTTTGTTTTGTTTTGTTTTACTCCCCTCAAGAAGATTCCATAATGTATTGAAAAATGTGTTTAAGTATCTTTATATACATATATGTATGTATATATATATTTTTAATTTTCCTAAGTTGCAGCCTAAGTTCCTCATCCTAAAATTCAAACTAATATAGGTCGATTTAGTATACTTAAATTCATCAGAAAGAATTTTCTCTTTCAGAAAGGCTGAAATGAGCATTAGAATCCATTTTTTCCCTTTGTACTACAGCCAGTACATTTTTACCTTTCAATACACATTGTTGTTGTTGTCAGCACACATTAGAGGCTAATAATATGATAGACTTCTTGCAGTGTTCAAATACTATTTGCAATAATTTCTTTACGAACAGTACTAAAGGTGTGGTCTCTGAATAAATAGGAAAAGTCACTGAGAGACAAGTGCAGATGCCAGCCAGAGTTAAGTTTCATATTTACAGGACACACACTCTCTCAATGGCACCTCCATCCTCTCTGGTAAATGGGTCTTAACTCTCTAGGAGAGAAAAAACAAAACAACCACCAGAAGCCCTAGATGGTAAGTGACAGCATCTCCGGTCCAAAGATGGACAATGTCTTTGGTCTCCCTGAAAACACCTTTTGTAATTATAGTTCAGGAACATACAACAACCAAGACAAGTAGATAGATACCTTAAAAGCATCCTCTCTGCTAAGCTAATTTATTCATCACAGAAAACATTTCTGCCCTTCAGCTAAATGGGAAGAAGCCAGATCTATCCCCTTCCATTTACACCAAAGAAAATAGCAAAGTTGTCAAGATCTAAAAAGTTGTCATTTTCCATCAGAAGAAATGAGGTGACTCAACACGTAGGATTATAAGAGGAGCGTGCCTGCTGACTGCAAACTTGTCATCATTAGCAGCTGCTTTGAGACGCTACTATGATCGAACAGACTTGAAAGCCCGTTTAGACAGACATTTTCTCATTATAAGTTGCTGTGCAAGATTGTGCTATGAAACTTACTGTCATATTTGATATAATAGGTAATACATTGCCTTTATAATACAACAGAGCTGGATTTCACAATGTCTGTTTTGATTGTATCAGGCTGGATTTAATAAAAGCTCTGATCGACTTGGTAACATGAATATGAGAGCAAACTTGGCAAAATGAACTATTTCCGTCATTGCGGTATCTGTAGCTAGTTTGGGGCTGATTTAGGAGCAGGGGCGATTTTAAGGGAATTTAAGGTTTTTATGCTTTTACTATTTCTCTATCCATAAGGCAGATTTGCAAATGTATTGAATTTGGCAGAAAAGTTTAAAAAAAGAGGAGTTTCTCCACATAAACACCTGCATATGTTTTCTGCCATTATTGCCATGACATGACCTTATAAGAAAATGTTCTACTATTGCTGATGATCTCTCCTTTAAATAAGGGAAAACAATGAAACATTAAATACTCATTAAAACATTTTAATGTTAAACACATTTTTTAAAATTCTTAAATTTTTAAAAAATTTCTGTTGTTGTTAAGTTCTGTTGAGTCAGTTCTGACTCATAGCGACCATGTATAGGGTTTCTGAAGTTGGAACTGGTGAGTTTGAACTGCCAACCTTGTGGTGGTTAGTAGGGCAGTACTTATCCTACAGCACCACTCCAGGACTCTTTCAAAGCTCTGTTGTTGTTGTCAAGTGCCGCTGAGTCAATTTCGACCTATAGCGACCCTGTATAAGGTTTCCAAGGAGCAGCTGATGAGCTTGAACCGCCGACCTTGCAGTTCAAACAGCTTTGTAGTCTGGCGCATTAACCCACAGCACCACACCAGGATTCTTTCAAAGGTCTAGGTGAAACTTAAATGAGTTATGTTGTTGCTGTTGTGAAGTGTTGTCAAGTCAGTTCCGACTCATAGTGACGCAGTATAGGGTTTCCAAGGAGCAGCAGGTGAGTTTGAACTGCCGACCTTGGGGTTCAAACCAACTTTTCTGTCCAGTGTTTATCCTACAGCACCACACCAGGACTCTAGACACACACTAGCTGTGGAAAAGTGGTCCACTCATTTAAAAAGCATCATTTTCCAAATGTTGTATTTAATTGATAATTTGGGAAATAGTTATAAAAGTGGACCCAATCTATTACATTTGAAAAACATAAATTAATATTAAAAGTTCTCTCAAAATACCAAAGCAATCATAAAACAAACTTATCTTGGAAAATGTATCTTCATCTATGTAGTAGTCTTGGAGAGGCTCTATGGGTTAATACACTGGATTACAAGGTCGGTTTGAACAGCAAGGTCAGCGGTTCCGGCTCGCCCACTTCTCCTCGGAAACCCTATATACCTCCCCCCAAACCTGAGTCTAAGCACAATGATCCAGTTCTTAATTCTATCAATTTCAGTGTACAAGAAATTTAAAGAAAAGTCGATTTCCAAATCACTGACTCCCTATCACCTCGAAGCAAATTAACATTCTACGTAACCCAAACTAAACAGATGTACTGGTTCTTTTGTCTTTTTAAACTGCAAACTGCCAGAGTAGATAGTGTATGTGCTTGGTATGAACTCTTTACAGCATCAACTTTTTAAGAAATGTGAATATAGTATAATAGGAATCCTGGTGTGGACCACAAAGTTGGTTTGAACTCCAAGGTGGGCAATTCAAACTCAACCAGCCAATCCTCAGAAACCAGGGTGGCTATGAGTCAGAACCGGCTTGACAATACAACAACAACAACAGTAGTATAATAATGAGAAGGGGTATCCTCTTGATAATTTTCCCCCTGTTGACCAAATAATCTATTGACTCTGAAGCACAGTAAGCTTTTATTCTGGATAAACAATTCTGACATTTAACATCACAGAGCATTAGTTAAAGAAATCTCTCCTTCAGAGTCCTAAGGTTTAAGGCAACACTGTATAGGCGAAAAAACACCAGAAAATCTGTGTGTAGTTCTGCAGATAAACAGTCCTCCAGTTTGTTTCCATTTCTCTGCACCACACAAAAGAACAAGAAGTCTCAATGCTGCCAGCTAAGTATTTAAAAACACTCTTGTTTTTCCAAAGTGAAAGCACTTACTTTGCCTTCAGTGTCTCCTCCTGAAAGTTCCACTGTGGGTCTTCCACCAGTTGTAACTCTCTTAACACCCTTCCTGGTTTGTAAGCTGCATTGATTATCATGCTAAGAACCTGTTGGATAGATAAATGAATGAATGAAGGGAGGAAGTAACAATGGCAGCAAATGTCAAACAGATTATTCTCACTAAACCAACAATACTTTGAAAACCACAGCTCTGACACTAAACATGGGGTCTGCATTCACACTGTTGTTGTCGTTGTTAAGTGTCACTGAGTCAGTTCTGACCCATAGCAACTCTGTACAGGGTTTCCAAGGAGCAGCTGGTGAGCTTGAACCACGGACTTTGTGGTTCAAACCTACTATGCATTAACCCACAGTGCTACACCAGGACTACTTACCACACCAGTGCATTCACACTATCCTCTGATAATTTGTTGTTTAATGATGGATGTTAGTGTCCTGGTGTGGCTCTGCAGGATAGATATGGGACTGCAAGGTCAGTTTGAACCACAAAGTTGGTAGCTCAAACTCGCCAGCAGTTCTTGGGAAACACTACACACAGTGGCGATGAGTTGGAACCAACTCAACAGCACTTAACAACAATTCATTAAACATGTACAATAAGTGAAGTATAAAGATTAAGCTTGACAGAACATTTTGTAGGCGTATACTGAATAGGTTCACCACTGAATGGCTAAATTTCATTAACTCTTAATGACTACAGATAAAACAAAACTATCTCCTCTAAAGAATGATGTACTAGTCTTCTACAGGGTTACTCTTCCATAAGATATGCTTATTGAGAATTTAATATTTAAATATAAATCACAAATGGAACCAATCAAACTGATTGGTTCATGCCAACACTTCTAGATATACATACCTGTAAAACCCCAAACCAAATTCACTACCACCGAGTTATTTCTGTATCATAGCAACCTGATTCAGGGTGTGCAAGACTGTAAATCTTTACAGGAAGCAGACAGCCCATCATTCTCCTGTGGTGCAGCTGACGGGTTAGCAGTCCAACCTAGCCTATAAAGCCATGGGGCTTACATACTTCCATACCTGTAAGCAGGGTGAAAAATTCTTCACCACTTACTGAGGCTGACTTAGTTTATGGGTGTTCAGTACGAGGAGCCCTGGGGTGTGGCACTGTAGTATAAGCACTAGTGGTTCAAACCCACCAGCTGCTCTTGTTTTTGCTGTTAAGTGTAGTCAAGTCAGTACTGACAACATAGTGACCTATACAGGGTTTCCAAGGAGCAGCTGGTAGGTTTGAACGGCTGACCTATGGTTGGTTCACAGTCCAGTGCTGATCCTACAGTGCCACACCATGAGTTCACTATGAGTCAGAGCACTTTTAACAATAACAAGAATATTAGGACAATTCTCTTAGAGATGTGCAGATGCTAAAAGAGAATCCATACCATCTTAATCCATTGATTTTCACTACCTCCTTTAAGTTACCCCTTCACTCTCAAGTCCCTAGCCCAAAAACCATAAGCATGTGGTCATTGCTTATTAGGGGGTTTCCACAAGGACCAGGCATTTCTTCTCTCAACTGCAAGCTCTGGGAGATGACACATTGGCTCAAGTTAACCTCAGTATGCTTCTGTAAGGAAAAAGAACAGGAACTTAAACCCCAGGGCGCGGGGGCGGGGGGAGGGGCACTCACTTTCCAATAAGCAGATCATCATTAACCTTAACAATAATGAATTCTGGCCCACTCAGGAGCTGTTGCTATTTGGAAAAGAGAGTTTGAAGAATTTGAAGATACGACAAAGACGAATACAAAGAAACACGGAGAAGACTTACAGTGCTCAGTCCCATGAGATGAGGTTTTTGGTGTGCTTGGGTTTTTTTTTGTTTTTTTGTTTTTGTTTTTGCCAGGTACTAGGAACAAGGAAAGGAACTCTGGTAGCGTAGTGGTTACAAATCAGACTGTGAACCTCAGGGTCAGCAGTTCGAAACTACCAGTTGTTCCGCGGGAGAAAGATGAGGCTTTCTGCTCCCGTAAAGATTTACAGCCTTGGAAACCCTGTACAGGGTCGCTATGAGTCGAACCGACTACACGGCACATAACAACAAGGAACAAGGAAGGAGTCCTTGTATGGCACTGGGCCACAAGGCCAGTTTGAACCAACTGCCAGGTCAGCAGTGCAAGCTCACCAGCTGCTCCCTAGAAACCCTATACAGAGTCACTACGGGTCGGAACCGACTTGACGGCACAAAACAACAACAACAGTACAATGCAGACTCCTAGTGAGGCACTGTAGGATCAGCACTGAACTTCAAATCACAAGATTGACAGTTCAAACACACCAGCTGCTCCTTGGAAACCATATACAGAGTCCCTATGAGTCAGAGTCGACTCGACGGCTTGTAACAACAGTACAATATACGACATCATGGAAAGGAAGCATTGAGAAGTATGTTGCAGGGATTTCTGTACTGCAGTGTTTCACTTGGCGAATGTGTCTTAGGAATGTAACCGACATGGATGCCACTCTGATTTATTTCTGAAAAACAAAGCTTTTTCATTTTATAACTAAGGACTCAATTTAAAAGTATTTGTCTACTATGCAGACAGCATGACAACCATCTCTTCTTTGTAACTTGGGTCTTGTAGCTCCCCATTATGGAAGCATGGCTCAGCAGGCATTCAGAGGCCATGACAATGCAAAACAAGCATGTTTATGTTTTCTGTATTATAATAATCATCTGATCTTATTGTTTACTGTCAGTACAATTTGCAGAAACTGAGTTTAAAAATAAATCTAATGAGGCCTGGCTGAAATAATGCACAGTGTGGTTATTAACAGACAATAAAGTTTCCACAGATCCTTTTCAATGTGCTCAGCTGAGAAAACCTCAGAGCTACACGCTATTTGCTATATATCAGAATGCGTTTTGTGACTTTCGGAGGAAAATGCATTCCAGAGTTCAATTCAGTCTAGGAATAGCAGTCATTCAGTTGTAAAAAACATTCAGTGTTGAATCTTTTACGAGTGCATCCCATGGCTTTTCCTGATGCCACAGCATTTGTCTCCAAATTCAACAAGCTTTTCTGTTATGATTGTGAGCTGAATTATTTTTCTGTACATGACATCTACATGCATTTTAGATACTTTGGACAAATCAAGAGGGACTAGTCCCTAGAGAAGGATATCACACTAGGTAAAGAGGAAGGTCAGTGAAAAACAGCAAGACCCCCAAGGAAATGAACTGGCATAGTGGCAGCAGCAGTGGGTTTAACAAAGATTGTAAGGATGGCATAGGACTGGGCAGTGTTTTGTTCTGTTGTGCATAAGGCTGTTACGAGTTGGAACGGACTCGATGGCACCCCACAACAACAAGAGCCATAAAAATAACCACATGGACAGCCATGGTGACTGCTGAGAATTAGAGTGAATTACTGTCCCTTGCAAAACATCAGAATTCAATTCATTCAATTCAATTCAGAGAGGGTAGTATAGAACCTGCCCCTAAGTAATTAAAAGGATCTTTATGGGTGAGACCAATAAACAATACTCGTATTCCCAATAAGCTGGTATGACTGTATGACTAACTCAAAGAGCAAGCTCATGCTTTATACAGTCATGCTTCACTGGATTTCTTGAGAGTCCATCAGATGGTTGCTAGGAATATATTTCTGCACACAAATTCCCACAGATTATTAGACCAGAAAAGCAATATCCTTTGTGGTTGGATGGATTTAGGATCAAACACCACTTCCATGACTTAGTTCTTGGGGAAGATGCTTTATACTCTGCCTTTCCTCACCTGTACAATGGGACACTCCTATTTATCTGATGCACTGGAATCTTATGAGGAATAAAGGTGATAACATACTGGCATCCAAAGTGACAAACACCAATATAGTTCTCATCAACCCATAAAATGAACTCCTATCCCTTCAACCTTCCAGTCCCATTGGCCTGTATTTATAAATATTTGGAAAGTAACTCTTCATTGATGCTCCTTAACTTTCTATTGTCCTGTGCTCAGAGTCAAACTAAAAAAAAAAAAAAAAAAATCGATACTTTTAATTCATTATATTCAACTCCATTTTCAACCAAGAAAATTTGTAGTCTCTCGAACCACTACACAAAATGCTTTGGAAAAAAAATCACTAGTGTCCAGATTATCCAACCCAATTAGGACTCTCTCCATCACTGGGTCATTAAGTCACCTTCCTCTGCTGTCCACTGGTCAGTCCTGAAATCCCTTCCTACCTCTGTTTATAAGGTATACACATTAGTTGAGAATATGGAGCCAAGAGCAAGGATTATAAAAAGAAGGAAGAGACAACAAGAAAATAGAATGTGGGTACTATTCTGAATAATTAGGAAGGAGAAGAACCATTATAAATTGTTGTTGTTAAGTGCCTTTGAGTAGGTTCCGACTCACAGCAATCCTGTCTGAGGAGCATCTGGTGGATCTGAACTGCCAACGCTGTAGTTCCCAGTCCAGTGCTGATCCTGTAGCGCCACACCAGTAGTCCACATTACAAACAGTGGTTGATATACACTCCTCAATGAAGGTTAGTTTCCTTCTCCCATTCTCTCACTTTCATATACAAGTTCAGCATTCAAAAGATTACTCAAACTGAAGGGGACTCATTTCCTCTTCACTTAACGAAATTATGTTGTTACATTATTTCCTTTCATATTCACCTCCATGCAAAAGTCACTTAGATATTTCTAAATCCAACTATGTTGTTAAGTGCCATCGAACTGGTTTTGACTCATACCTGTATAGGATTTCCAAAGATTGGCTGGTGAATTTGAACCACTAACCTTGCAGTTCAAACTGACTTGGTTGAGTCCTTATCCTACAGCACCACACCAGGACTCTGAATTGTATCATGTGATTAAAGTTAGAACAGTGTTGAACATGCAAGAAAACACTTAGCAGCAGAATTGAGTGTCAAAATTACGTAAACAGTTCAGCAGGCTCCCCTAGGCTGGGCTAGGCTGATGTAGTGGGAAGAATCATCTAAGACTTTGAAGGGTTTTTTTTGTTGTTGTTGCTGCAATAATGACAACAACAACAACAACAAAGGCATCAGGAGAGTTTTTTCTTGTTTTCAGTGCATATCTAACCT